TTAGCGACTTGGCAGAATTATTCAATTTCTTCAGTCCTTCTCCTTTTTATAGTTAATTCAAGAAATTTCCAAAAAATTTTCTATTCTATTTTTTATTTTATTTTCAGTCTTTCTTCGCTTTCAGTCTTTCTTCACCCTTTCCCAAAATTTTTTCCTTGGGTTTTTCTATTTTTCACTTGCTTTTTTATTTGTTTACTGATTTCTTGAATTAGCAATAAGTTGCTGTCAAATTAAAGCAGTAAATCACGACGGAAGAGAAAAAAGAAGCAGCTAAGCTAATAACCTCTCACTGAATTTGAAGCTATTGATGAGGACTCGGACAAACCTTGATTTCAGACTACTATTAAGGTTCAAGCACTTTTTGCAGGTATCTGCGGGAAATGTTTCGGTGATACTGGCATATGAAGTATGCTCGCAACAGTTGGCACTGTAGAATTAAAAAAAAGGAAATAAAGTAAAAGAAAGATATGGTGAAGAATTGAAGTGGGCATAGAAGGATGTAGACAGTTAGTTGCATACGTAATGCAAGCCAGCCGTTACGTGCATTGTCGCTAACAACGAGTTAAAGGACGTGAAATGATCGTACAATGCAATTAATTCTTCTCTGACTGCGCCTTCGCAGACAGAATGCAAGATTTGGTTATTTTCAGGGAGAGAAATATGCCTTGTCTCCTTGCTTCATATTTGTATATCAGATGTGACTTGTCATGCTTCAAATTGCTGGCTCGTCTCTCACAACACATCACAAAACTGTAACATCAAAAAAATACCCAAAAAATATGATTCAAAATTATTCTGTTCAAAAATATTTAAATGCAATTTAAAAATATTCAAAATTTTGGTAGTGTGAATGATGTTTGTGCTATATATTGCTCCACACCAAACATATAAATCTCTTTATTGACGGCTCCTTCTTTTCATGCAGAGAGACTGTAATATTTTTGTAGTTTTTGTCTGCATATGTTTGATAGTGAATTGATATTTTTATTTTATGTTTAAGCAAATGTCTTCAAATGAGATCCGATTCATCTAACAAGATATGCATATTCACACATGTACAAATGTAATCTCAAAATATATGTGGTTGAATTTTATGGTTTAGAGCCTTGTGATTGACACAAATCATAGTTAAAGAGCTTTATGAATTCACAAAAAGAGTTAAGATGTTTGCAGAAACAAAAAGTAGAGCTGAGTAGTTGTGTAACTACAATACAAATGAATCAGCGTTGTGTAACTACAATACAAATAAATCAGCTTTTCGTTAATCACTCAAACTAGTATTTAAGGGGTACTGGCTAATTTTATTATTAAAATGCGAAAGATATTTAGCAGTGCAATTTAAATGAAAGCAAGCTTACGCGTTCAGTACAAGTATGATTCGAAAGTCGTAAAAACCTATGCACCGTTAAAGCACGCGTCGAAATCATTGTGAGATAGCATTTTTATCAGCATCGCGAGTTCTATATCATAGTGAAGAAAAGACATGTCTTTGAAACTTCATTTTCTTCTATGTTAAGACGTAACACACGTTAAAATGCTGCTGGCATTCTATTTGACATACATTCTTCTATGTTAAGACGTAACACACGTTAAAATGCTGCTGGCAATCTATTTGACATACATATTATATTCTTCCTTACTGCACTTTACTGACTCACTAAGCAGGTAGTACGCCACCATAAATTAAATGTCATCAAGTTTCATATTGAAAGAACTCAGTTCCCCGTACCTGACACAAGATCTATTCAGTAACTCAACTAGAATGCAGCATTATTTGTATGAAGGATTGACGGAATGCATGCTTGTAGACTGCCTATTACTCTGATACATAATACACCTTATACAATAACTTACATGAATCACGAAAGTCGTGTTACTACGAGACACATCACCGTTTGGTGTAGTATATTCTCATATACGTGTATCTCCTCCTACGGTAGAAACCACAATTTTTTATAAAACCATGGGGGCTGAGCCGGGGATCGATCCCGGGACCTCTCGCACCCTAAGCGAGAATCATACCACTAGACCACTCAGCCATAACAACATTTTTATGAGAACCTTATTTTGTAACATAAATTACCTTGATTCGTCCTGACACTTACCCTACTTCTTAATACATGAGTAAGAATGGAATGTCTTTCATTTACTGGTGTCCTACACTTATTTCTAGAATGTCATTGGTGAGAGTAAATTATAGCTAAGGAAGGTCAAGCCCTTGATGCAGTTCAACGTCTGATACCTTTGAATCCCATTCCAGACAAGTTGTGGACTCTCCAACCTCCTTCATAATATATGCGACCCACACCCAAACCCAAACGTTCATCGCTCACAGCTTGTATTGTTCGTTTCCAAAAAACTGCTCTGATTGCTAAGTCTACACCAACTATTCCTATCCTACAGCCAATCCAAACTAACCACAATACCCACAGTCTGCAGGTATTGTGACTAGGAATATTTTGCTCAATTTGTTGCTTCTCGGAACTGATACAATTAAAACTTTGACAGAAAAGAATTCATAGCCTTAATAAATTTTTTACCAAACAAATCCTTTAACCGTTTTTTAATTCCGATCTTCAGCGAAAAAATTCCATATAGAATTACATTAATTTCACTCATGAATAACATGTAAATACACCGGATAATGACACATTTCACAGTTACAATCTTGAGATAACAGCAACTATCAATAAATAAGTGAAACTGATTCCCTCTAGACTGAGCTCAAGACATGTAACAAATGAGCAAATATGCAGAAAACAACAACTGTGAAGTTCAAGATGGGAAAAATCTATATCTTCTTATGCAGGACTTATTATGCAAAGCAAATTTATCCAACCTGGTAAGAAATTCTTCATTATACACTTGCAAAAAATGAATACATTACAATATATTCAGGAGAAAAAGTAGGTTGACTGTCGCACAGCATCTAGGTCGAGTGTACCTGGTCGTACTTTTGGTATAAATGTTCTACGTAATTCTTGAAATTGTTCCGATGGCATGTCCGTACGCAGCCAAACTGGTAAATACTTGTGGCGGAAGAACTGCAAAAATAATTCAAAATAAATGTTGAAAATAAAGAGGTATTCGTTGAAACTGTATGTTGTAAATGAAACAACATATCTCACCTCTGAACACTGTTTCACCAATGGCTCACTATGAAGTTGGACAAACTGATCTCTACATATTTTGTTCATTTCGTCCACTTCACAAGCATGAGTCCAATAACAGTCATGTACTGCTGCAAAAGTAATACCTAGTTGTCGACAATGTAGAGCAGTTAACATCATATGAGTAGAATCCAGCGAATGCACGAAGTTGGGAGGGAATGCATTTATCTAAAGATGAACTTTCCGGATCCCTTGGAAAAATCAAGTCGTTATCAGTTCTCAATAAAAAATGCCTTCTACACTACAACATTTTTATCAGTTTTGAGCACATTTTTTATTCCAAATCTTTCCTGTCCATTTAGATAATTCTCTTAGAATCGTTATTATGGATTACTATCTCACTGTAATCACAACTAAACCTGTTTTATTGACTTTGGTAACCGATAGATTTTATTTTCTTCCATCATTGTTTCCAAGTATGGTTGATAAACGGGTAGTCCAAGAGGTGTGACCCATTCCACTGTATGCATAAGTTTAACAATTGCTTCTGCACAGCTACGAAACCAATCTTTCAGTTTCCTAAAATGAAACTGAAGATAATTAATGATGAAAAAAATTTAGAAAATGTAAAGCAAAAAAGAGCAAAATTGAAAAAATAAAATAGCTGTAAAAGTGAAACAGCCTACATTGAATTTGTGAAAGCATCACTTAGACTTTGAAAAGTTTTTTCTGCCAAGTAGGTTGCGTATTTAATGCGCTGAAAATGAACTAAACAGTTTAAATGATAGATCTGAAAATTAAAATACAACTTTAATCTTTTACATTTCAAACATTTAGCTTTTTTACTCGACTATTTTATAAAAAAGTACTTCATCTGAGTCGATTCCGATTCCTTTTAACTGTCGTTCGATTTGTCGCCGAGCTCCATTCATTGTCACACCATACACAGTAGTCATTACAGTTTGCTTAATTACCTAAACAGCTCTATTTTTACTATTTTACAGTTTCCTCTTAAGAATGAAACCTATTGCGAAGTATGATCACAAAATCTGCAACTAAAGAACTAACTTTTCTTGATACTGGATCTGGCATAACGGCACGAAGCGACAGTGCTAAATTTCGTATTTCAGAATTCAGATTTTGCTCGTCCTCTAAACGCTTCTGTTCTACTCTGGAGTGATCTATTTTCATAACTAATATCACCTAAAGCTATTATTTCTGATTTACCTTTTTAAAGCAAAAATCGTATACCTCATAGCAACACTTGAATATACATCATTAGGTTTTTCAGCAGATAATAAGTTGACTTCTTTACCACCTTCCTGATCTCTGCCTAGAGCCGCATAATGTTGTAGACCATTACAAGAACCATCCTGGTGAATAGGCAAGTGACTAACAAAAGTTTGTGGATCATCTGAACGACAAAATAAATTATAAAACAAACACTGAGTATCACGACAAATAAGGATTCTAAATGTTCCGAGATAAGTTTACTTTAAATAGCAATACTATCTAATATTCGTCATAAAACCATATTTTACCTAACAAAAGTAATGTAATCAATAAAATGAAAGTAAAAACATCTGATTTAAATTTCGTTAAGAAAGTTTTTAGCATAAAAGTATAAATACGCCGTTATGATATAAATTAGCCAAAATGAAACTGTACAAACAAGTGTACACTTGTTATAAAATGCAAATTATTTGTGCGAATAATAATCACAACGATTATATGAAAACGCAACAACATGAAGTACTAAATATTAAATTCGTAATTAACTTTTTCTTAAAAACTTACCGCATAATAATGCATCCCTAATTTCAATGCATGCAGACAGAGTTTGCCATGGCTCTTCAGAGTATGTCCACCACATTTCGCCTGAAGTCAAATCACATAATAAAAATTAAAATTTCATCAACTTCAATACAAAATTACCTGACAGTGGATTGTTTGCACTATCCAGAATTTTTGGTAGTATTTCCTCAGCATAAGCTGCACGTAGAGAATTCGATTCCTTTTTTAAAATTCCCGTTAAATTGATACAATGAAGTTTTAACCAGTTTAGACCAGCGGCCCCCAAAGGGCGTCCTAAAGTCATTATATTCTCAGATGCCATGAATACTTCATTCTACTTTCTTTTTCCGAAATATTTTATCAATATTAGAACAATCTCTAACTGATAACTTTACAACATAAAGCTATTACTGATGAAATGTTACTCAATGTTCAAAAAAAAAAAACAAAAACTTGCCTTCTGCAAAAATTAACAGCGAACGATTTAAATCATCACCCATGTGATTTAAATATGGTGTTATCGGATAAACACGGCCGCGAAAATCCATATTATGCGGAAAGAAAAGAACACTATCTTTGCAGTGATGTGCCATTGTTAAACGATAAAGCAACCAACACCACAATGAATTCAGTTCGTTTCTGTAAACTAATAAAGTTTATAGGTACTTCCTATGTCAACCACATAGCTGCAGGCACTTTGAGTAAGAAGCAAACAGTATAAGAAATTGAAGTTATAAGGAGAGTTTTTTAAACAAAAGCAAAACATACTATTAAAGTTAAATGAATTTCAAAAACATTACAAAAATTACTGAATGAACAAAACTGTTTGGTAAAAATATTCAGAACTCATTCGACCCTCTATAATTTTCAAAAATGATTACGCTTGATCACAAGAAAACCTTTGTTTAAGAGCCTCATATTTGGTTTTTGAATACTGCCTCCACTCATCCGTTGGTAATTCCTCTACTTCCATTTTTCCGAAAGTTGCCACGTAGTCAGGTACTACAACACAATCTGGATGCAATGGTATGGCTAATTTTTGCAAAAGATTTTTGTTTTCTTTCTTTCGAGCCATCTCAAATACCTGTAATCAATAACAGAATCTTCATACAAGACTGTCAATCTCAAGAGAACAAAAAAAATTTTTTCTCACCGCAAGGGCTATATCAAGAACAGGCTGATTAATTTTCCATGGTGTTACACCTAAATCATTTAGTGCATCGAAAACTGGTCGAGCTTGTTTGCTGAAAAAAATTGAACGAGATACACAAATTAAGCAGCAAAAGCCAGAAAATATAACAAAGTCTACCGTGACTTCAATCGTTTTCTCATTTCATAATTAACATTTATTGCTGTATAATCAGGATGTGCTCTTAGCACATTAAAAGTCGATCCATAATATGGTCCACCTTCTCCACAATCCAACCATGGTCGAGGAGGCACCTTACAACTTACAGTTTTAAAGGCGCAGAAAAATTAAAGAAAAAATATTAAGCACGAAGTTAATAATTTGTTAACGTGAACAATATATATACTTGAGTTCTAATATCAAGTACCTAATTATTTCCAAATATTTTCCTGCGCTATTTCTGTTATAATTAAAATTTCCCTAAGAATTATCATAATCGAAAAGCTGATAGAGCCAATTCAAAAAAATATACAGCTGTCACATTTCATATTTTTTATGATACCCTGAAATTAAATCCTAGACATTCATCGTGAAACAAATTTAAATTCCAGATAAGAATCAAACAAAAAACAATATTTTTAATAGTCCTTACAAAGAAATTAGCCTAATAATTGAATTTTTCTGAGCTTACTTCCATTGGTAATAAGTCAGTGGGAAAAACCATCCATTCAAACTGATTTTTGCTAACGAAATCCATCATCAAGTTACACATTTTCACCATCTTTGTCACACACAAAACATCGTTTTCGAAATTACTTTCTTCTTCGTTTACAACGTCTTTATAAGAAAATACTGGGATACTAACGTTGTTCTTACCATCACCTGAAAAATCAAAGCTGCACTTATAAATTTGAAGACAAGCAAAATGTTTGCTAGTCAATATTTCTCAACATAACGTAGATACTCACTTCATAAATAGTATCGCAGCAAATAAATGACACCCACCAGATATGAAATGAACTTTGCATGCTTCCAAAACCACAGAAGTTAAAAATGATCCAAGCTGATCACGAATTCCAGAACTGAAATCTGAACAAGGAAGCTTTAAGTGTGGGCTAAGATGCAACAGAGAAGCGCAATTCATCCACCATTCACGCACAGTATGATTACGTGAAACTTCTGAATTCATAAAGTACTTGATGTAGAGAGCAAATAATTCGTCTTGCATCTGTAATAATAAAAAGAAATTTCATTCGTAAAAATATTTCTTTATACACAAAAGAGCTTAACACAGTAACTTACTTTATTTGCAGTTTTTGATACCTTCTGAACAAACATTCTACCAATTAAGTTTAAAACAGGATTTGCTAAACGACTGTGAAATATTGTCACGGGAACTAAGTCTTCGCCTTGCGCACATATTGACATAAGTGTAGATAATATCAATGAGGTACAGGCTTCCAAATTTACTACACTCATGAAATCTTTTACTGAAAAAGTATTTATAAGGTAATCAAGCACAATCAGAATGTGAGGTGAATAATTAAATCAGCCACGAATTTAATTGACATACATGGATACAGACGCAACTCCTCTACACGAGAGGTCAGGCAATGCAAGATATTGCTTTCCCAGTTCCACTGTTTAATCAATGCTTCCACAGGAATTTCATTCGATTTTCGATTAAAATTTTTGACAAATAAATAGCGATCGGCTTCTTTTTGCAGTTGATCAGCAAACTTCATCTTATATTGTTCCTAGAATATAAATGTTGCAAACTCTTGAACAACTTTTTCGAATCCATTTTTACAAATTATATAATTCAATTTCTGACTTCTGTAAAAGCGACATTAGAGTAAGGTGATCCATGATAATTTTCTTTTGAAGCAGGCTTCTGCAAGTTCTTGACAAGATTTAAATCCTGAAACAGTCAAAACAAATATCCTTTTGATACAAGAAGTAAAAATACAAATATAGTCTATAAACTTTGATTTAATCAAACATCAAATTTCACTACGTTACGTAAGAATAAATTCCATTACTTTGTCGTACGGCCATTCTTTTTCTTCATCTCTATAGACCGTATTTTTGCCGAACATTTCACGTTCATGCAGACGTATTACTATTTGATCTTCATCAGTAAACAACAACCGATTATAAAATCGTGGTAAAGAACTTAGTTCTGCCTGCATTAAAATTATGAAATTCAAAAATTAATCATTTTTTAGAACTATTGTCTTATAGAAGTGTTACTGCCACAATCCTTTGAAAAAAGGAATTAAAAGAAATTATGATGTTTTAATTCTGCACAATAATTTTTAAGCCTAGAAAACAACTTTACAAACATATATTTATCAAAAGAAAAAAGCAACTTGGGAGGTCAATTTTCGCCTTAGTTCAATATGTGCATCATCAATATCATTTGACTTCCCGTCAATTGTTCGAATTTCAATCCATTTTTCAAAACGATCCAAAAGTAGTATCCAAGAAGCCTTTGTGTCATCTCCTTGGAAGGGCATTTGTTCCATTAAATTAGCCAACGAGAAAAAAAGCTGCAGAGATTCTCGAGAATCCGCAAGCGATTGGTTTCTTGAAAAATGCTCATATCGACGAGCTGCTAGCAATAATACGACACTAAAAATCTAAAAACAAAGAGTATGAGGACAACAATCATGCTTGAAAATAATGAACTTGGTCAAAGATGAAGTCTCGTTCATATGAACCTGAATAGAATTTACTGCATTTTATTGAATAACCTCATCATCTTCATGATTTGCAAGCGACTTATCATTGAGAGAATCGAGATATGCATGAGTGTAAGCAACCAAATTAATATAATCATCTTTAAGGGCATAACTGTAAATAAAAGTGTCTATACTCACCACAAAAAACACTGAAATGGTAAAAAAAAAAATGAAACTTTACAATTAATGATTTTGGACTGATATAAACAACGAAAAAGTCACAAACAGCAAAAGTAATTCCTAAGCGTAAGAAAATAACCGATTAACTTCAATTGAATTAATAACTGAAAGACGTAAACAAACTTTGCATATTATAAAAGACAATGAATTCATTTTTCGCGACTTATAGCATTAAAATTTGGATTAATAATACTGAAATAATAATCAAATTTGGAATGATAATTTCGCTACATGAAATAACAATTTAGCACAAACCGAATCAAATTGCACTGTGCTGCATTCCGTTTCATCAATCCAGCGTATCGCTTATGTTCATTTTTTAACTCTCTTACAAGCAGTGTTTTTGTTCGTTCCTCCCAAGTTTTCCTCTTTACAACTATTTCTTTCCTCGACACTTTTCTATTTAGCACTGATCCTGCAACAACCAAAGTACTGAAAAGTGTCAAAAGCTGATCACTAATCCACGATAAAAATTATTTCTCGTGGAAAACTCTCGCCTCAACAAAAGGTTTCTGTATTTTTCAGATTGAAATCGTGATAAAGAAATGAGCAAATTCAATTATTTTAATATTATATATTACTGAATTACCGTTTCTTTATCATATTTTCATTTATTCAGTAAATACTATCTGGCAAGAAACTTATTACAATTAAATAAAACTCTTCAACAGATGAGCGACAAAATTGAATGAGCTGATTTCATTTCATACACTGCTTTCAGAATGACTGAAATGAATAAGAAAGTAGAAATGAGACACTCTTACTGCTAGATGACGCTGATTCGACCGTATGACAACACGCTTTTTGTATGATCTGTCTGAATTCCTTTAGCACAATAAAACTTCTCATCTGAAAAACTGTTCAAATTAATTCAAAATGCGTAGAAAAGATAACCAACGTAGTATTCCAGAGACGAGTCAATTTGAAAAATTCAATAAACTATGACTTAAAAAGTAATAAAGTTTTTAACTGGTAATGCAACCACTAATTATATTCAAAATATGTTTAACTAAAATAATAAAGAGAATATGCTGATAATTATACATTTCACAACATATATTTCTGCAAATAATAAATTTTACGATTTGTCCTCCGTTTTGATTTCACTGCTTATATTTGCTATATCACTAAGAACCAAGATTATCCCGCCACTTTTTATCTTTGCTAAAATTCTTTCGTTACAGAAATCAAACATAGAAATAATATTCCCGCTCACATACTTTTTCTTTCACTCAAATCGCTGAAAAACATCACCTACTATTTAGCATAAATCTTGCTTAAATTTCATGTCTTTCTTCTCAATCATTTCTCACTTGAATTTCTCTGCAAAAATCATTGTACCTTTAGACCTCATCATAACATGAACCGATATCCATTTTTCGCTACGAAACGCAAAATTTTCAAAATAAATGTTTTTATGCTGCTTTGTTTGACTCGAATCTCGTTGTTTCGTTAATATTTGTCAGTTTAGCGGGAAATTTAATTTTTCAATGAATGCTACTCAATTTACAGAAAATTGAAAAAATAAGCTAAAAGGTACATAAATCATCTTATTGTTTACTAGACTTGTTATTACGACTTTTAACATAATTATGTTTCTCAATAATCACCATTATCAATTCATACCGCAATAATGTTATTAAGATCAAAACTATACTCGTGAAAAACCATTCTTACAATTTATTCGTGGCGGATATAGTCATTATTTGCGCAATTTATGAAATTATTATTAAAGAAATAATAGTTTGTAATTTTTCTAGTTGTTTATACTGTTTGTCTTGTCTCTGCCTGTTGACTGCTGATAAATTTTTCAGTAAAAACTATTCAGTTTACAGAAATCAAAAAAATAAACTATAAAAGTACTTAAACCTTTTTATTGTTTACTAAACTTGTTTATTTACGATTGCTGCCATTTAGTTCACTCTTCCATTTTCTTGCACTCACCGGAGACTCGCTAAAAATGACTAGTTTCGACAATCCAGGACTATTTTATCAGGTTGGTAAAAATAATTCAGTTACTAATGAAATTTACAGTGTCTTGGATAATCTGTCCATTCATCATTTAGATAAAGATTATGGAATACTAATCGATTATAGTTTGATCGGCAGAACCAAAGACGGAGAATAAATTTGTTTAATCAAATTTAGGAACGCTTTTTTGCTGCAGAGGAAGATGTTTATGATGAAGGGCGTCAATTAATTGCTGAACATAAAGAAACTGTTGAATTGTTTCGAAATTTCATCCGTGAATACAATGTTGGTGGATTTGGTCTTGTTTATAGGTGAGGGTTTACTATCAATTAAAATAGATTCACGATTGAGTTTTTGAATAATAAGTGATCAAATTATAAGTAAAATTTGTCGTTCAGTTAGATCTTTTTACAATATTAGAATGATTCAACAAAAATGTATAATAGCAGTGCTCAAATTCCCGAGTCATTTCAATTCCAAGATTATGTTACAGGGATCAGCTAAAACGAAATTGCAGTCTTGGAAACCACCTTTTAGAAATATCAATAGATGATTTGAAAGGTTTTAACGAAGCATTATCTATGAAGCTATATCAGTTTCCTACACGACTTCTTAATTCTGTATGCTTTCAATTTTTTCATTCATAACTATATGACAGTTATTTCCATTTAAAAATTTTTGCAGCTTGAAGAAGCGGCAAAACTTGTAGCAGATGAGGTGATGCAAGGTGTGGAAGATGCACCTGAGATTCATGATATTCAAGTGACGCTTCGTTCTGAAAAGCTACCCTCTAGTATTCGACAACTAAAAGTAGATATTTTGCTTATTGCTTTCTATCTTCTATCTGTAGTCGTCTTGAATTTCAACAAATCAAAAATTGTCGGATAAAATCATGATGATTAAATTTTTACAGTTCACATTCTTTGCAGAGTACTCAAGTTTCTCAGCTAGTGAAATTATCTGGTATCATTGTTGCTGCATCTCAAGTGAAAGCAAAAGCTGTTCGTATTTCGATTCAGTGCCGAACTTGTCGTCACATTGTTAATAATCTTGGTTTAAAACCGGGATTGGATGGTTTCACATTACCACGCACTTGTGGGGCGTAAGAATTGATCACCTTATTTTATGCAGTGGGAAAACTTTCTGTATTAAATGTTTTAAAAATAAGTAAAGTAGCGCGAGTTCAGAAATTAGCAGTGTACAATCATTAAAATATCATCTGTGTTCACTATTTTTTTTTCAGCAATCAAACAGCTCAGTTGCAACGGTGCCCTGTTGATCCATATCATATCATGCCTGATAAATGTCAGTGTACCGATTACCAAACTCTGAAACTTCAGGAGAACCCAGAAGACGTACCACATGGAGAAATGCCTCGTCATATGCAACTGTACTGTGACCGGTATATCTCTTTTTCCATTAAATTATTCAAATTAGCCATAATTGTAGTTTCTAATTGTAAAAGTATCTTTCAGCCTTGCCTTTTGTTGGTTTAGTATTGAAGCAGTTCATCAGTCAGTTTCCTTTTTCCAGATTGTACTGCCTGCCTTATATATTTTGAAGCATGAATTTTTTATTTGATTCTTACTTATTACATAATGATATATATTCCATCGAATGACCCAATGATTTTTTGATTTTTTAGCCTTTTGACGGATCGTGTTACACCAGGAAATCGTGTAACGGTGGTCGGTGTATATTCTATTAAACGAATGGCACAAAAGCAGGTAAAAGTTATCAAAGGTATTCGTGTTTTGGAATGCTTCCTTTCTATTTTTAGCACTGAATTTGATCTTCAGAAATCAATGGATAGGACATTGTCAGGTATTCGAGCACCATATATTCGGGTCCTCGGAATTCATGTAGAAACAAGTGGGCCAGGGCGAGTAGAACAGCGACAGTTCACCTCTGAGGAAGAAAAAACATTCAAGTATATTTTTCTTTTGTTTAAAATGTAATTAGTGATTAGATAAACAAATGAAGTTTACTTTTCAGGGATCTAGCAGCGAAGTCAGATTTATATGATATAATCACTCGTAGCATTGCTCCATCAATTTATGGCGCAGAAGACATTAAAAAATCTATTGCTTGCCTGCTCTTTGGTGGATCTAGAAAAAGGTTTTTTAAAACTTACTTTTGACTGGAAATTATCTGCTTTTTATTAAACCAATTTCGATTTCATCATTTAGATACTATTTAGATTACCTGATGGATTAACCCGTCGTGGTGACATCAATATTCTATTACTAGGAGATCCCGGAACTGCAAAAAGTCAGCTTCTGAAATTTGTAGAAAAGGTTCAGTTCTTGCTTTTTTGTTTTTAAAGCTCACTATTAAATTGTTTAGTCTGTATAATTTTTAATTTAAATCTTTTGTAGTTAATTTTGACTTAAATATTTTCCATATTTAATTCTCTTTATTCAAGGTTGCACCAATTGCTGTGTATACGTCAGGCAAAGGTAGCAGTGCTGCCGGTTTGACAGCATCTGTAAATCGCGACCCTCAATCGGTACTTTTAATTTTATTTGTATTTAAAATAAAAGAATTGTTTTATTTTTTATTCATTTACTATTTTTTGCTTAATAACTTTGTAAACTTTAGCGGTCGTTTATAATGGAAGGAGGAGCGATGGTACTTGCCGATGGTGGGATTGTTTGTATCGATGAATTTGACAAAATGCGAGAAGATGATCGAGTGGCAATCCATGAAGCAATGGAACAGCAAACAATCAGCATTGCTAAGGTATAGACTGAAATCAAAGTAATTGCTGAATGTTTGCTTTCAGAGAAAACGAGGTCATAGAAAATCCAATAGGAGGAATGTGATTTTCTTTGCAGGCGGGGATTACAACAACACTTAACGCACGCTGTTCCGTTCTGGCAGCCGCTAACTCAGTATACGGTCGATGGGATGATTCGAAGGGAGATGAGAATATCGACTTTATGCCAACAATATTATCGCGATTCGATATGATCTACATCGTCAAAGATACTCACGATGTTATACGTGATGCGGTAATCTGTTAGTACCTCGTGTCTCAAAAAATCGTCATTTTTGAGTCGAATAAGTTGAATTTTTTAAAACCTTTTCCTTTGACTGTTAAAAACAAAAAATCACCACTTTTAAAACTAGGATATTGATATTACATGAAATCACACGTCTTTGATGTCATTTTGTATGAATTCATTGCAGACATTAGCCAAGCATGTTATATCAGTACACGTCAACGCTTCCACTAATCTTCCACAAGAACACATGGTTGAAGGAGAGTTATCTTTGGAATTGTTGAAAAAGTCGGTTATTTATGCATTACAATAAATTTTTAGTATAATTTTTGTAATTAAAAATTCTTGTGTTTTCATGTATTTATTAAGATATATCGCATACTGTCGGGCAACATGTGCGCCACGACTCTCAGTTACAGCAAGTAAAAAACTCATCCATAATTATGTTCGACTTCGCAATCCTGTTATGGATGGAAATCAGAAACGTGAGTTCGTCTTTACTTTTTGCTTGAACTTTGGTTATTATGTTCAGATTTTCTTTTGTTCCAGATTTGCCATCTACTCGCTCTGCTATCCCAATTACAGTGCGACAGCTGGAAGCAGTAATACGGATAGGAGAATCTTTGGCGAAAATGGAATTACTTCCATTTGCTGGGGAACGTCATATTGATGAAGCACTTCGTTTGTTCCGAGTTTCGACCATCGAAGCAGCTGCATCTGGGAATTTAATTGGTAATTAAAAATTAAAAATTTGCTCTTGCTTTGGCTAACAGTTGACTCACTTCCCAAATTTAATGTCATTTCAAATTACCCTCTAAAAGCTAGATATTTTGTAATGAAAAGTTGAAGTCTCAAAAAATATCTTTCAGTGCATGATTTTGATGTAGACATCTTTCTGTTGTTTGGTTACAGGTATTGAAGGATTTTCTAGTGCTGAAGATCAGGAATCATTTAGTCGCATAGAACGTCAATTAAAAAAACGATTTTCGTTAGGAACACATGTATCAGAATATCTTATTGTACAAGATTTTGTTCGACAAAATTATTCAGAATTACTTGTTAAGAAGGTGACAATATAAATTTCTTTTTTCAATCAACTGTGTGTAATATAAAATGTATATAAAATATTTATTTCGGAATGAAGACATATTAATCAAAATGTTGCGAAACAAAAAAATATGCTTCTCTAATTAAAAATCTGGATTTTTAACTTGTGTTGGTCAAATCACGGGAATATTTCTGTTGTATTAATTTACCGTCTCAGTACTTAACTTTAACTCCCATTTTTCATGGTTACTGACATTTATTCTCTTATATCTCCTTCATTATTATCATAAATGTGCCCTATTTTAGGTTATTCAGTCATGCATTCGGCGTGGTGAACTTCAGTACCGCATGCAGAGAAAAATGTTATATCGTGTCAAGTAATTTTTTTGTTGTTATTAGCACTTTGAAATTAAGGTATTGAAGTTTGATTTTCAGTGCCTTAGATTTGTTATCAATTACAAATTTTTTAAAAGTGAAGAAAGTAGACAGTAAATTTTTCAGAATGGAGCACTTTTGTAAAAAATTATTATGATTATGAAACAATGTATTTTATTAATTTTACTGTACATATTTATATATATATATGCTTTTTTGGCACATGTTTATTATTAGTAATCCATGCAACTTATACTTGGTAAGAAGCCACAGAGTGTGGTAAATTGCTGCCATTCGATATTGCCTGAAAAACTAATAAAAAGTAATGGAGTGATAAATAATTAAATGCAATAGTTCTGCATTATTGTAAGTTTTTTTGGCTTTCATATAATGATGGATTGTAAAGCTGGCCTTAACTCCTGAATTTCGTTCTACTTTATTTCTTCTATCGATTTCTTCGTATCCAGTACTGATCTGTAGGGAATTTTAAGAATAAGATGTAAAAATTAGTTTCAATTTGCAATGGGATAATACAGAAATTCGATTAAAATAGGCGAATTATTTCTGAATACATTACAGTCCGTTTTGAACAAAGCGCACTCATACAGACTTACGCGTGATACAATGTAAGTACTCCAGAATATTGCACTCGATGCATAAATAACAATCATGAATCCTTTATTTAGCTGAACATTAGAGGATTCAGTTATCATATGAAAGTAGTATGCCATCATGCCTGTACACCGCAAAATTTCCATATATGATGCGTGACTCCTTAAATTTCAGTATTTTATTGCTTATGTTTTACGTATATGTGATATTATTTAAGTCTCCGCATATTTTATGCCATGTCATATTTCTTTCAGAGGTAATCAAAGTTCAGCACAACAGTTTCAAAAATACTTTTCTTTTATAATAAGCTGTGACTCACGTTGCATGTCTAAACCACACAGGTTTTTAGCAATTCGCATATTCAATAGATTTAGGATGACACTTGTCAAATTTCAATGTCAACGTAAAAATCAAGATTTCATGTCGAAAATACGGTGAAATACTTGCTTTGCGTTTTTCAAATTAGATGCATAGCTTGCAGAATCTATTTTCTCACGGGTTCTTCAGAAATGCTTAATTAGTGGTACAAGTTGCAAATGCAAATTAGCATTAAATAACGGAAGCGGAATAACAAACTTGCAGTCGAAGAAAGCTCCCAAACACTGCATCGTTGAAACGAAGAATATTAAATTGATAGTGAATTCCGTGTATGACATTCGGCTACGATCAAATTCAAAATGCAAAAATGCAGCAAGAAGAAGAAGAAAATGTCCAAAGCAGTATGCCTTTTGCCATTTTGGAATAATTGGGTCATAACGAATCACGTCCTTCTCAATCTAAAAGGACTTCATAAAAAATTATTCTCAGTATAGCCATTTTATTTATAAATTTTTATTCACAATATTTCATTCAAAGGAATTTTTTTTTAAATCGGTAATGTATTAAATTTTATCAGTTACAATGTAATGTTTAATAAATAATTTGAGGATTAAAAAACACCTGTGGCACACCTTCCTCGTGGTCAACCATTGATAGCCAGTGAAAATACCATCGGACTTTCATACCTGGCATATAAATTGGTGGATAGTAAATTGCTTTCAGTTTTTCGATTCCTCGAAATACAGGTAAACCTTTATCAGTTTTCATTCGCCATTTTACAAATAATAAATCATAAAGAGCATGAAACTGAAAATTAACGCATTTAATTTTATTGTGTGTAAAAATTTTAAGAACCTTGTTATTGTTCTGTTATATGCAGATAATTACACTGAGTTATTTTATATTGAATGCTTTCAAGAGTACAAATATTCAAAATACATTGTCAGTGGAGGAACTGTTGCGAATGTTATTTACCAAGGCAAGCAAAACTTTAGAAAAGTAGCAACAGTAGTCGTATTAGTACAGAATGTATTTTTTTTACAGTCATTTAATGTATTCCTTTAATATGCAGTGTAATATTTTGCTGTCTTTTTTCAATAATTTTAAAAACAATAAGATTTCTACAAATGATTTCAAGCACGGTAAAAATTTTTTTTACGAATATGCATAGTCTTTTTTTCTTTTATTTCATTAATTTTTATCTAAGCTAAAGTAAAATTTAATTTCGCTCAAAATTGTTCTCTGACTGTAAACTTTTATCGTACCTGAAGGTAAAGCTGATTGAAGTTCTTTTCTCTAACGATTAGACCATAGACAGGTTTTTCATTTGAACGTTCCGGCTCAAATGTGTGGAAAAGTTTATCCCAAATAATGAATACTCCTCCATAATTGCGATCAATGCAGTACGGATTACGGCCATGATGAACACGATGGTGTGATGGTGTGTTAAGGAAAATCCCCAGTGGTCCATAATTATCAAATAGCTGCAATTGAACCTGTTCCACAAAACTTTCAATTGATTACTTTGTGGAGAAATTATATACAAAGTTTTGTGCATATTTTTTATAGTTCCAGAAAGTAGTCAAAAACGTTTGATCATATCACTCTTCTGTGCATTATACTTTTAAAACGTGGTAGTTTCAAGTTTTCACTCATAATAACGAATACGGGCCTAAATATTATCATAATTGTTATGATGATAGTAATCATTATGATTGATATATTTGAATTATGATTGTTATGATATTAATCATTATTATTCATATATTTGTAGTGATATATTTTGCACTCATGCTTGAAATCATTATTTCGAATATCGTGGATTACTTGCTTTATAAATTATTTACTGGTACTTTATTGAAAATGTTTTCTTAATGGCCTTACGGATGTGTGTAATGTGAATTGATAAATTTCACTGAAATATCGATGCACCAAAAACATCGGTGGTGGTATGCAAAATGCTTGTAGCACATCGTAAATTGCTAGCCCAGTATCTACAAAAATTTTTATAATCATTAAAATGAATGAAGTTATTAATCCATGAGGGAGAAGACTTTTCATCTTGCCTAGAAGTCAATAATTAGGTAACGAAAATTACTTCAACCTAACTATAAAGGACGTTTAAAGTGATAATTGATTACTGAATAGATATTAGATTTGTAGTAACAATAAAATAGGATTTTGGAACTAAGTAGTTCGGTTTCAGATAAGTAATGGAAGTCTAACCTTGAATTGCAGCTTGTCGTAATGCTGTTGTGAAATTATAATATTCTGAACTATGGTGTATTGTATGTAGTCCCCAGAAAAACCCTGCTTCTATAAATAGTATTCATAGTATCTTAGATATGAAGGTAACGAACTTAATATGAAAATATAATACTAGAATTCAGATTGGAAAAACAATGTAAGGGTACCGTGAATAGCCCGGTGCCCAAGGTAATACATGAAATCCTGGAAAAATAAACAAAGGATCCAAGTCCATGTAGAATCCCATGAATTGTCGATGATTCGGAAATTATTCCATATGTAGACGTACAGAAATATAGCAATAGTTTTACCCCCAAATCTAAAATAAGTCATTTCTTCAATTTGGTAATAGTCTGAGTTTACTAAATTTGTGTTCATTCTTTTCGCACAGATTACTCTTTTTATTAAAAATTTATCCGTGATTCAGAGTATAAGGTATGGTAACTCATGTCACCATTTAGAAAGTTTTTTAAACTCAAAAATGCTCATTTGGTAACAATCAAAAATTGTTTTCAACTTCTAGAAGAGTAGAATTGGAAGCTAGCTGTACCTATACACTTGTAATTGAGTTTAAAACCACTCTGAAAAAAGTTATAATCTTAAAAACTCGTAAATTTAAGTGAGTAATTGGTAAAAAAGCTTCAACAGTGAGTAGTAAGTTTGAACAAAATGGTACGATATGAAAATTTACCATTAAAGTTTTTTTTTTTTGGAAAAAATTTCAAGTTTTCATTTTAATAACAATAAGTAATTATTTAAGTAGTAAGTAAAGTAAGTAAGTAAGTAACTTAAAGTACAATATTTTTATTAAAAGTTAATATA